TTACAATCTAGTTGGGAAGACAGAGAGTAGTTATAATCCAGGGCTCCAAGCTCCAATCCTGCTCCCCATCCTCAGTTATTCCACCTGTAATAGCAGTAGCTTCCCACATTGTTGATGCTTACATCATCACAGCTCTTTCCATGTGCGCTGGGGTTCCTGTGTGGAGAAGATTCCTCAGCTTACCATCCCTAAAACTGATTTGGACCAGATGAGTTCTGAGGTCCCTTCCTGCTCCAGGCCAGGTGGGTTTTGTTTAGGAGGAACTCCTAGTAGAGGAACTTCTGGGCCCACATTCTGCAAATTAATGACTTCCTGGGGGTGTTGGCTAAGGAACCAGGAATTGTCAAGGAAGACTTAATAAGCCATAGAGTCTGACCTTGGAAACCACCCAAATCAATGGTTCTCAACCTTGGCTGCACATTAGAATCACTTGAGGGCTTTAGGGGGGAAAATGGCAGTTTCTGAAATCCAACTGAATCCGATCTCTGGGAATGAGGTCTGGGCTTTAGGATTTCTTAAGAGCTCCTCAGGTGACCCCAGAGCACAGCTAGGATTGAGAACCATTGACCTAAAAAACTGGTCTAGTCTATGCTGAGGGACTTGAGGCCAAGAGACACAGGAAGGGAGGGCAGAGAACAGGTGCTGGGCCTCCGAAGACCCTCCTTCCCCACGATGCCCCTGCTTCCCCACTTCCCTGCGGAGGCTTAGTCTCTCTCAAGTCACCTCCAAAGACATCCAGGCCCTGCTGTCCTTGGGGACCCCACTCTGCCCGCACTCTGAGGACAGTGCCCAAGGCTGCCCGGTCCCCAGATGTGTCTTTTCCCAATGCCCAGAGACAGAGGGGCAGGCGGTGGCAGGTGAGGCTGGGGCCTTCTTCAAGGGGCTTTCACCAGAGTAATTGGGAGGGTTCGTCTTAAACAAACAGGGCTTGTTCCAGGAAGGCGTTGTCTGCATGGGGCAGCAGCGCCATTCATCATGGTGGCTCCGGCGCTGGGGGTAAGAAGTCAGCCTTCCAGGGCCCCGGCCCACAGGGAGGGGCTTGGGGGCCGCTCCCCCAGGACCAGCCCGGAGAAGATGTCAGGAAAGCTAATGAGCGACCAGACAGCTGCAGCTTGTTAAAGAGCGCCTGGGGCCCGTTGTAACTGAGACCTTTAAATATACAGCACAGTCAAATAAACAGCATCCTCCCGCCCCACAGCCAGTCCCTCCAGTGCCAGGCCAGTCCAGTCCACCCCACCCAGTTCCTCCCTCTCCATGCTTCCCTCCTTCCTTGACTGGAAATGAGTAAATTATGACTGGGAGAACTGGTGGGCCAGGTGCTCTGCCCACCCCCTCCCACCTCCCTCTACATAGAAACAGCTATAGCCCCATCATAGATCCTATCACCCTGTTGAGGTCCCTGTGGGTTTTAGACAATCAGGATGGAACTGTAGATCCCTGGAGAACCTCTATAGAACACATCTTCCTCCAGTCAGAACTTTCTGGAGCCACTGGTCCCTGGATCTCCACTCCTATTCCTCCTTCAAAACCCACCTCAGAGGTCACCACCTATGGGAAACCTTACCACACTTACTTAGGTAGAGCTAGTTGCATGCTTTCTGGTCTGAATGAGTGTGTGGTTCATACCTTGGGCGTGGTCTAAGCCCAGGAGAATCTAGGGGTCTATGTCCTCAGCCACTTTGTGTTCCTTGACAGCAGAGGCCAGTTTTCATTCAGGTCTGAATCTCCAGAGACTAGCACAGAGCATGATACCTGGAAGACTTTAGTAAGTATGTGCAGAATTGACTCCAGTGCACCACATCCATCCATTGGGTCATGTTAGGTACCCAGAGCGATACGTGGTAAGTGGTCTCTGCATGAAGTAACTATTGCCCTGCAGCGAGGGGCGCTGGCAGGAAGGAAGCCAGGTAGGAGGTCACTGGGCTGCTCTAGGATGGTGCCGTAAGAGAGGGGCATGTTTAGGTCCATTAGGGAAGGGATCTTGTCCAGGAAAAGTCTAACTTAAGAGTGAAGTGGGAAGGCAAGAAAGGGCTATGAAGTGGAGGATAACACTATTCCTTACCAGTGCGTCTCCCCTCATCACGGTGGGCCTCAGTCTACCCGTCTGCTCCCCCTTATCACAGGGTACCACACAGCATACTACATCATACTTCTCCACAAATATCATAGAGATGCAATGTCTGGCACTGAAGCTCTATAAGGCCCTGCCATGGTCAGCAGAGGCCACCCTCTCTCTAATCCACTAGACGTGAGAGAGGAGCCTGCGGGAAGAAGAGAGACCTGGGACGAAGCAAACAGAATGTATCTCTGTGCATCCACAGGTAGAAGCTTGAACTTGCCCAACCACCTTGCACCAACCTCATTGACATGGGCCAGGTGGCAAACCTTACTGATGAAGACATTCTAAACAAGTAGGGTGTGTGTGTGTGTGTATGTGTGTGTGGAGTGACATCTACTGAAAATCCATTGATTTTTACAGACATTGCACTAGGTGCTTTATACATATTAGCACACTCAATCTTAATAAACTCCTGGGGGGGTAATGGTATAATTGGATTTATTTTATAGACAAAGAAACTTGAGATTTATCCAGGGTCACATAGCTTATACATCATAGAGTTAAGGATTTGAACTCTGGTCTCCCCAGTGCCAAAATGTTACCTTAAGTCACATGTAGGCCAAAGATAATGATCTTGTGCTGACAGTGGAGAAGGCAGCACATACCAGATGCAGTGGGCAGGTCAGATAACCTCTAGATAAAATTAGTTGTAGGCATCCTGCCCTAGGGATGATCGAGAAGTAGTCAGTGCTTTCCATAGAGCTCTGTATACCAGGGTTAGTGCAGAGAGGCATCACCGCCTAACGGTACCCGGTATTACCAGCCAATTCCTCCAGGCGGTAAGCTGACTAGCACCTTATGCATATTTGCTTTCCTCAGGCTCCTTCTTCTGCAGCCAAGCCAGGCTCCCTCTCCAGCCTGGACCCTAGACCAGCCACTTCAGTATGGTCCTCCCTGTGCCCCTGACCCCTTGACCTGCTTATGTCTGCAATGCCAGTGCCCACACAATCACTCCCACCATCTTTTCATCCCTGCTTCCTGGCTCAGGGGCCCTGCAGAAGCAAAGTGCACAGGGTTCAGTCTCATGCTGTCCAACTGATTGCCTCTTCTCTCTTCCCTCTGCTCCCTCAATCCTGGCAACATTGGGTACTTTGGGTCTTCTACATACAGCTCAGGAAATGCTACCGGGTCTAGCACAGAACCTGGTACAAAGAACCAATGGGCACATTTGGGTATGTTGTTTACAACACAGAGGCACTCAATCCAGTGGCTGGGTGGGGAGGAAATCTCCACTCCCACAGAGGTCCTGTCCGTGTACTCAGCCTGCACCTTCAAGGTTGGGAAGAGGGGGAGAGGCTTTTTCTCTACTTCACATGAGGTACTGTGTATATGCTGATGGTCTTGCTGGTGCTGAAGTCCTATCTTGTGGGACAAATGAATGAATGAATAATTCCAACCTGCTCTCTGAATCTTAGCCATAGCAGATGGGGGCAGACTCTCCTTCTGGGTGCCTGATCTGACCCCACCCGCTGCTCCATCATACTTCTGTCTCTCTGTCGCTCTGTACTCTGAGTAGAAAGTGTTCTTTCCATTTTTCCAAAACCATCCCCATTGGGACACCCAGGCCTTCGCAGTTCTGCCTCCCAGGAGTCCTTGCTCTCCCACTTCTCCCCGACTCCCTCTTCCTTCCTTTCCTGATGTCTTTTATTTATTTATTGTGGTAAAATATACACAATATTTACCATTTTAATGTGTCCAGTTCAGTGGCATGAAGTACATTCGCATCGTTTGGCAACCATCACCACCATCCATCTCCAGAACTTCTTTCATCTTCCCAAAGTGAGACTCTAACTCTATAGCCATTAAACAATAATACCTCCTTCCTCCCTCCCCTCAGCCCCTGGCAACCATCACCCTCCTTCCTGTCTCTATGGGTTTGTCTACTCCAGGTGCCTCATATAAGTGGAATCATACAGGATGTGTTCTTTTGTGACTGGCTTCATTCACTCAGCATGATGTCTTCAAGGTTCATCCGTGTTGTAACATGTATCAGAATTTCCTTCCTTTTTAAGGTTGAATAATATTCCATTGTGTGTATATACAGCATTTGGTTTGTCCATTCATCTCTCAATGGACCCTTGGGTGGCTTCTAGCTTTTGTCTATTGTGAATGATGCTGCTGTGAACATGGGTGTCTCCTACTTCTCAGCATCCTCTTTATATTCCCCTTTATTTGTTCATCCTCTCTGATTGGCAGCCCACACAATATTCCACAGCCATAAAGCCTGGATTTTCCAGGACAGTCCCAGTTTCATATCATTTTTTTTGACTTGTCCCCCAGAGCCACAGAAAAGTCCCCAAAATTCCAATAAATTTCCTCCTTCTGTGTCTTACAACCCAGAAGAGACACAAAGTCCTTCTAAGATCTTGATTTTTTTAATTCAGGAAATTTCATCACTTTTAAAAGTCCCTCCCCCCTTCAATAAAACACAAACATCTTTGCTTGGCCTTGCTGCCTCCAGGTATCATCTCTGTCCTTCCATTTACTGCCAAACCTCTCCGAGTGTTGCACACACACTTCCGCCTCCTCACCCCCTGCCACGTTCTTAATGCCCTGCAATCTGGCTTGGCTGAACAACTCTACCGGAGCCGCTCTTGCCAAGGTCACCAGTGACTTCTTTTCTAAACAAGTTCCAATTGTTCTGCTTCTTGATTATCAAATAAATGCTTCATTGTAGAAAAACTGGCAAGTGCAGAGTAGTGCGTAGGAGCAGATGAGAGAATTACCCGTACATAATCACACTGCTCTGAGGCAAGTACGGTGAGCATTTGGGCATACTTCCTTCCAGTCTTTTTTCCTAATTCCAATCATTTTCTTCCTTTTCACCATTCTCATCTCTCCTGATCCCTGTAGCACTTAATGCTATTGGATATTTATTTACCTCTCAAATCTCCTTCCTCTGGCTGGTTTCTGCTCCAATCCTTCCACCCATTTCCTCGGCGAGCCACTCTTTCACTGAGTCTTGCCAGGATGTAAATGGTGGCTGAGTTGAGGTTTCACTAGGGTTGCCAGGACTCTCTCTGAAAGCCAAGACATATCATTATCAGAAGTCAGGAACAGGGGTCAGGTAAACACCAAGTTGGGGTACCCCCACCCACTTCTCTGCCTGACAAACTCCCATTATCCTTCAAATCCTTATTCAGATGTCACCTCTTCTGTGAGGACCCCTAATTCCCCCTGACAGGATGGTCACTGTATCCTCTGACCATCCCCATTTCCCCTCAGTATTGTCCATCCTTCTACCGCAGAAGATGTCTCTGTCCATCTTACCTGACTCTATCCCTCTCTAGACTGGGAGCTTCTTGAGAACAGTGACCCTTTGTTATGGATCTTTGTATTTCCTGAATCCAGTGGAAAGCCCACTGGCCAGTTCTGAGGCCCAGAGAGGGGAGCTGTCTTGTGCAAGTTCACACAGGCACACACAGGCTAAGGCCACCAAACCCCAGGCCTGTGGGACCTCTGGTCCTGAGTTCTTTCTCCAACATCATGATGGAACCAAGCAGCTCATAAGAGGAAGGGCTGTCATGCACTTGCCAGGAAACCCCAGACTTCCAAATGTGAAGGAGCAACGCGGACCGGTGAGGGAAGCAGAGGCAGGACCGGAGCTGCATCTGTGCCTGAGGCTGTGAAGCGGGTGAGCCTCGCTGCCTCATCACCCAATTCACCAAGAGAAACCGTTCTCTATGACTCAAGCTTCTCAGATTGGAACTCCATAATCCCCTCTCTGGAGTTTCAGCCAGGAAGCCCTTCCTTAAACATAAATCAAGATCTCCCCTCCAACCGTTTGAGCCAAATAAACAGGAAAGGCCCAGGGTCCTACCTGCTACACAAGAGGCAGAGAGAGAGTTGGCAGAGGGAGTACACACTGTGATTGGGAGGTCAGGGAGGAGTTATGGAAGACGAGCCACCTGAGCTCAGTCCTAATGGTTGGGTAGGATTTGACATGTGACAAAAAAAAGTTTTTAATGCAGAAAGGAAATAGCACAAGCCAATGCATGGAGGCAGGCTAGTGTAAGGCCCTGGAAAATAGCTAACTAGCCAGCAGCCTCCTGGGGCAACTCTCCTGTGCTCTACAACTGCTCCCAGGATGGCTCCCGAGTCATTCCCCAAATGTCCTTCCCAGAGATGGAGCAGTTCCAGGAGCCACAATGTGGGTGCTGCACAGGGCATGGGGTGATGGAAGGACCGTGGGCTCTGAAGACAGAACCATCCAAACTTGAAACCCTGCTTCTGTGACCATGAGCAAGTCAGGTAAAGTCTCTGAGTGTCAGTGTCCTCCTTTGTAAAACGAGGATTGTAATATCTACCTCGGGAAATCGTGGGAAGGATTACCTGCAGTAACCTTGAGCATGTAGTAACTGTTCAGTAAGTGGTATGGAGCAGCTATCTCATTATTATTACTATTTTAAGAACTCTCTGGGTTGAGGGAGGGTATAGTTCAGTGGTAGAGTGCATGCTAAGCATGCATGAGGTCCTGGGTTCAATCCCCAGTACTTCTATTTAAACAAACAAACCAACCAAAGTAACTCCCTCCCCTCCCCTCCCCGCCCCACACCCACCGAAAAAAGAACTCTCATTTCACATATAAATAGCCCGGGGGGAAACAACCCTGTCATCAGAGGGGTTCAGTCAGATTTCCTTCTTGCACCTTTCGTCATGTCTGTTTTTGCTGTAATGAGATGGAATCAGAACTGGGTCTTTGTTCCACTTGGCCATGTTGACCTTGAGCAAAATATTTCAACCCAGTGTCCTCACCTGTAAAATGGGGCTAGTAACTCTCAGCCCATAGGCTCATCAGGCAGATTCAGGATGCTGTGGGTTAAAGCCCCTGCCAGCACACCCCAGGTCCTCAGGCAAAGTTTGGAAATCCTTGGCCCAGGGCTGGGCTAAGGGTCAGAGTAGCTGGGTGGTGGGGTCGGGTAGAGGCCGGGCCCAGAGCCGAATGCATAAATAACCAGCCGTCCGGGTCTCGCTTCAAAAGCCTTGGTCTCCAAGCCTTTAATCATGGAGCTGCTCTTCCCTGGCCACCCTCCAGGGCCTGCCCGCCCACTTCCCATGCAGAGGAGCGCCGGGAGGGAGCCCTGGATCTCTGCAGCTTGCCTGCTTTGCATGGCATGCTGGCTAATAGATCCCAGGAACCCAGGGGGCTGCCACTCAGCCAACTCACCCCACACCCCAGCACCCCCACCCCACATCAGAGGCTCGGCTCTGAGCTCCCCTCTCTGACCAGGAAGACCCTTCAGCCCTGTCAGGTCTGACAGGATGGTGTCCTCCTCTCCATGGTGACCACACTGTGCAAACTAAAGCATCAGACCCCAAGGCCTGATAGTTTTAAGAATTCTCATGGGACAATGGAAACCTAATATTAGAAAGTGAACAGTCTCAGAAAATCCAGGACATGTGTTTGCCATGTTGATCACCAGCTCCCCCCAACTCACTGTGGGCAAACCTCTCTTTAGGCAAGGCAGAGTATTCCTTTGGGTTCAGGAGTGAGAAGTATGTTGGGGCTGGGAGTGGAGAGAGGGGGTTGCATATGAAATCACATTTGGCAACTTGAGTAGTATTTTTAATGCACTAATGGAATTGGCTTTTTAAAGAAAAGAACCAGTGATTCTTTTTCATATGGGAATGAATTCATATGGGAAAGAGTCCCAATAGAAGGAACTATTTTTAGATTTGGGTACACTGGATTTGCTTAAATGGAGGCACACCGGTACTCAGTTTGCAGCTATTTCATTGGAGGTGACCTTCTTTGAGTATCCCGATTGTTGGAACTCACCTGTCAGCTCTGTCATTTGCACCCTCCCCCGATGGAGACGAGGTGCAGGTGGAGTGGACAGCCCCTGGGCATTGGCACCACCTGGGCCTGGGTTTGCATCTGCTCTACCACTTCCCAGCCAGGTAACCTTACACACCTTACGGGCTGCTTTTGCCTCTAGATCTGGGACGGAGTGGGAGGCAATGTTCTTCCCCAATAGATCAGATGGGAAGATTAAATCAGGTCATGTTCATAATTTGCTGAGCATTTGCTGGGGCACAGGAGAGACAAGGCCAGGAGATTGCCTCCCTCAGGACTATGCCTTCAGAAGTTCTTAAAAAATAACATCTGCCAGCTTAGGGAGCACATCTGCCTGCTCCCCAGCACACCATCAGGCCCCGCTAACCTGAGCACATTCTGCTTTTGTAAATCATCTTAACCAGGGCTCCCCGAATCCCAGATGAGCACCCACCCATGAGTTCTGAGCTGTGGCAGACAATGAAGCTGCAAGATTAGAGCAAACTGAGGCACTGTCATGAGAACCCCTGCTGATCATTACCTATTTCACTGCGCCCAGGCATAGCTAGCCTATGGCACTCTCAGAAGTCACAGAATTCTAGACTCCTAGGGCCAGTGATGCCCTTAGAGGCCTTAAGCCTCTAGCTTTCTGTGGTACAAATGCAGAAACTGAGGCTGGGCGCTTTATCACTTACTCAAGGGCACAGAGCTGCTGGCAGAACCAGCATGAGATGCAGATTGTCCCCTCTTTCCCATTTCCCCCTGGAGGGTACAGTCTGGCTGCCCTAGGAGCCTGCATTCCACCCGAGCAAGAACTGTGTCCCTCATCTGTCCACGCCTGGAGCTCTAAGTAAGTGGTGTTGGCTGATGGTTGACAAAATTCTTCACGAGGAAAGATTTAAGAAGAGCGCTGGAAGCCTCCTGGTTTTCTGTCCTGTCTTTGGGAGGCACTGTGGTGTTGGGAAAGAATGCGGCCCTGAAGCCAAAGGTTCTGTAAATGCAGCAAGCTCACGTATACAAAGTGAGCGACAGTGCTGGGCTCACGGCAGATGCTAGAAAATGAAGGCCATTATCAGGAATATTAGTCCTGATTCTGCTGCTGTGTGATCTTGGGCAATTCAACAAACCTCTCAGAGCCTCAGTTTTCCAGAGAATAGGAACAATAACAAGCCCCAGCCTACCACCCAGGGGACTCAGTTCTCCCACGGATGTCACAGGCCATCACAGAGGTGACACTTGAGAGATGAGAAGAGCTTCCAAGTTCAAGGATGAGACAGTAATTCCAGGTTGAGGGAGCCACCAGACAACAGTGATTCAGGGAGGAAACTATGGGATGGAGGAAGAGAGCCCTTGGTGTGGCCACTAAAACCAAAGGCCTGAAGCTCCTGTGTATACATGGCCAACCTTCACTCCCCTGTGGTCTCCCAAGGACTAGAGGCCCCCGAGGGGAACCAACATTTACAGCCCCGATGGGGTTTACATTACTCCTACAGAAGAAGGTTGATTGCCTCAGGGTCACGCAGGTTGAGAGTAGAGGAGCTGGGGTTAAACACCAATGTGTCTGGTGCCTGGCACATCTGAGTCACAGCCTCGAATTTCCGTCTTTCAGTCCTCTTCAGCCCCAGAGAGCTGTCCGCACCCCTGTCTTGCACCCCACCTCAGTGCCCAGAACCCCACTCCCCTAGAAGACTTCCAGCTGGTCAATGCCTTGCAAGACTGAGGAGCAGGACTTAACCTGGCTCCTCAAACATGGATTACAGGTCTTGTGAAACCTCTGAACTCATGTGCAAGCCTGTGTGTGTGTGTGGTGTGTGTGTGTGTGTGTGTGTGCGAGCACACTCACTCATGCACACACATGTGCAGATCTGCACTTTTCTGCGGAGTGGCCTCCAGCTCTCACCGGACTTTCCAGGAGGGCTGTGCCTCAGTGAGTTAGGAAATTCTAGCCTCCACAGCTCCCTGTAGGGCCGGGTCCACTGTCCTCAGCCCTGACTCAGGGGAGACCTGAGCACTTCCTGGTCCCAGGCCCTGCAGCAAAGGGCGGTGAGACGGACATAATCCTTTAGGCTTCAGGGAGCTCAGATCCCATCCCGCCAGACTCAACACCCCAAAGCAGGTTGTTTCTTTCTGCTCCATCCTCCATGGAGACAGAGTTCGGGGCAGGAAAAGGCTGGAGAACTCTTGCAGGTTCAATATGGCGGAATGAGAACGAAGGAGCAGACTGGGATTTGGACCCCTGGAGTC